ATGCAGCACGCTTCAAACATCTCATCTGTCAAAGACTTTCATCCAACTGATCCAAACAGATTCCCACACATCACCAACAATTCAAACAAGGGGGGGAAGAGTTACTCACCAGGAGTTGGAAGCTGTAATCTAGTCTCTGGTGACGATTTCAACTCAATAATCCCAGCAGATTCCAGGTGGGTTTAAAGGGCTTTCCTTTCCAAACGGATTGAAGGCAAAAGACGGTCTCCTTTATATCCGATTTTCTTGAAAAGTGCTTGATGATGGTAAAGTGTAAAAAAAAAAAAAAGGTGAGATTGCTTCTGGTTTAGTGTGAGTCTTGAGAGCGCTCTGCAGCAGCTTAGAGGTTTGGTGGAAATAATAATATTAATAATAGTAAAAGTTTTAAAATCAGTGTGATGACACGGTCAGTTCCTCTGGGGTTTCTCAGTGCGGTGGTGATCGGCTAATAAAGCCCATCTAGGGTTGACAGCAAAGCAATATAGTTTGGCAATTTATGTCTAATTGGAAGGGGCCGATCCTTCAGCTGCTTTAAAAAATAAGTTCCTGATTAAAGCTAAAGTGTMTCCAAACAAAAGGACGTGGGAACTCCTGTCATGGACATGGGATACAATTGCTCAAGTCATATCGCCTTTTACCTGAAAGATCCACACGGTGATCCTCGCCACAAACGGCTTGTTACTTTACCTTCCATTGTGCGTAAAAACAAACGCAAAAAGAAAAAGAAAAAAAAAGTTTTCAACTACTCCTCACGTTTAAGGTCTTCCCACCCAAAAAGTAAGTCGTCCACTTCTTGTTAAGAGAACGGCTCGGCTCCAAATATGCTCCAAAGAAACAAGGAAAACCAACTTTGTATTATCTCCAAAACGGCGCGGCTGGGTGAGTGCGCGCGGCGTCGGTGTGAACAGCGGCACTGTTGCTTGGCTCCCACGCTGTATGTGCGCCTCCGTCTGCGTTCAAGTGCAGAAAAAGGACCTCTCCACCTCCAACCTCCGCCTCCCGCCTCCCTCACCTGCTCCAATCACCTCCTCTTCCCCAAACCGGCAGCGGGGGATGCGCGGCGCAAACAATACCCTCCCTCCMGAAAGCGCATGCGTCTCTCCCGGTTTATATTCAAATCTCCCAAACTTTCAACAAAACCGTGAAGGAATTTGTAAGCAAATGTAGAARTTGTGGAGAGAGGCAGGAAGAAGGGAGCGAAGGGCGGAACGGGCTGTAACAAAAACAGGCGTCTCTATTTCCTTAAATAAACTTATAAAACACCCGAGGCTATTACCCTATCCATACCAGAGCGGAGCTGGGATTTTCACCGGCAGCGGATCAGGTTACCGCTCAGCGGAATCAAGACAAGCAGGTCCACACTGTGTGCTTACACAAGCTGCTCTCATCACCTGAAGGGCCCACGCGCATTACGCCCGTTGCGGTGGGCTTAATTATTATTTTATGGCACACTATCTCATAACATGCCGCGGGATTCCCGATGGCTTCCAGTTCGATATGTTTCAAGGAGCCTCGACGATGAGGGTCAGAGGGCAAAATGACTAACAGTTTCACCAAGACGCGTCTTGGAAGGAACGTCTGCGGGTGGTGGTGATGGGTGGGGTGTCAATTGGACCTACGGAGAAACATGAAGGTAAATTTGTGGAAGAATGAAAACTCTRAAGTGGAGAGTAAGGAGATGTGTTTGCCAGATCCCAAGATGAGAAGAGTGTTCCTCACTGCCATGGGCTGTGTGAGGTTTTGCAAAGGGTGTACAGCTCATCACTCCCCCTCATTTAGATTTTTTATTTTATTTTCAGAAGCTTCACCAAAATCACTTCTAAGCTGCTTCTTCTAAATTTAACACACGCACACACACACACACACAGAATGGCCTCAGAGTCTGTTGTACAGTGTGTGCGTCGACTCAACAGAGCTGAAATCAAATGGGACAGGAGAATAAATATTTGAAGAGCTGAATGCCAGGAGCCATTGCATTTTGTTTCAGATAATCACCTCGTGGGTCTGAATTTCCTGTGCAGAATTTCAGCTGCAACCTCACGCAGAAACGAAAAATCAAGAGGACTGCAAAACAAACATGCACCGTAACATTAAATAGGYTTTTGTCGTGCAGAATAATACTCAACTTTTTGGTGTTGAACATTTCATTTTAAAAAGTATGACGTGTTCACTAGAGAGAGAAAAAAAAAAAACAATAGAATGAGTTATCTACTTTGCTTCTATGTGCAGTATTTATTTATTTATTTTTGCCAGATGGAAAACCATCAGCTTTTTCCACAAAGAGTTTTAACAGGACTGAAAGTCTTCAGTCAAATGTCAGAGTTTTCGTAGCCGAAATAAAAGCCAAAGGCGACGCCGGAGTTCTGGTCTCAGCTAATGTTACCGTGGTGGATGCTAAAGAGGCTGTGATTGCATCAAAGAGCACTTAAAACATGCTCAGCCACATTTCAGGACCCCCCCACCCCCAATTTACCCTTCCTCCACCACCGTGCCTCACTATGCCTTCCTTCCATCCCCCCGTGTTGCCTCAGGAAAAAAAAAACTGGGCAACATCTGGCTGAGTTTATGAGAGAGGGAGAGAGAATTGGTAGACCATGAAAACTGGGAAGAATTCTTTYTCGGGCAGCGCAGGAGTCTATTGTCGAAACTGCCATTAGTGTCTGTGATACTTTAATCTCACAAGAATACTTGTGCACAAATTTACCAACCAGGCTGCTAGTGTTGGTGCAAAAAGGAAAAAAAAACATGTTTGTAGCTCTTGTGAAACAGCTTTTATTCACTCAACAGCAACAAATTGTCATCTGCAATACATTGTGGAACAAGCCAAGGGTAAGTACAGTTACCCCCAAAACTTTCACCACAACCATGACTGAACAGCACACGTGCAAAAATAAATAGATAAATAAACTGTACATTTTCAGTAAAAGGACAGATTTAACACACGGTTAGGATGTTGAGTCACAGCAAGACTGCCAATAATTGTCACACATCAGATTACCCTTTTAGCTCAAAGAAAATTTATGATTCTGGTGTTTAAAATGCAATAAGTCACTTCACTGTAGTCAGATGTGTCACACAATTTCACAGGATCAATAAATASAGAAACACACCATTCTTCAGTATAATAAGACACACAGTAGCTGTGATACAAAAAAAGAGTGGCACTCAGTTTCAGATGTCGAAAAATCAAACGGACTTTGATTTTGTTTCTTAAAACAAATGCACAGCAGGCTGAAGGAACACAAGGAGAAAACCATTCGCTCATACAGAAAACTGGCTTAGTTGAGTTTCCCTTCTTAAATTAGGGTCTTGACTTTTTGAAGGAAAGGAAAAAAAAGTGGAAGCTGATTCTCATCCTGCTTGTGGGGCATCTTAAAGCCCAATATTTTTCTTTGTTGGTCTCTGTACAGTAATAGTTGAATGAGCTACATTACCAAGTAGTCTTGGGTCAGAAATGAATGAACWGCAGCTCCAGCTCAGTTTTTCATCCCAGCAGATTGGGACAACTCCTTTGGCACAGTACATTAAGAAGGTTTCAGTAAATTGTTGATTTTGAGGTCCATGTTGTCCTGTTTACAAAAGTCCGATATTTAGCTACAGAAGTAAACACATTCATAGCATTATGAACCACACCAGGTATGGGTTTAGGGCTTGTTCCACTGGATTAGCTTTTGCCATGCTTGCAGTCATCAGCGGTGCTGTGACTGTTGGTTGATGTGAAGCCAGGATTCTGTAGCAGCATGGTACTGTAAAATAAATCCAGCTTCCAGTCGATTGGAAACAGAGAGGAGGATGAAGGGAGGGCAGTGCTTGTCAGCATTCTGAGACCTCACATTGATGGCCGGTGCTCTGGTTGGGACATTTTGCACAGTGAGACACTGCATTTGTCTATTTACCAGTAGAGCATCTAAATGCTGATCTTAACCAAAGTGGGCTGAAATAATGGAAACTAGGTTGTATATGGACATCTTCTTTTGTCTGATAGTCATGATAATGAAGACAAACCAGCGAGTGCTGGGAGGTRAAGTCAATCAACCTTGTGGTTCCAAGAGCAGCTGTGGAAAGAAACAATAAAAAAGGATGAGTTAATAAAATGTGAAATTAAACAGATACTTCAAAAAAGCAAGTGGGCATATTTAAAATAAATATATAATTTAAAAAAGCACTTTTTATGTAGTCATCCTCAGAGGCTCCACCTCTAGCTTTACCCTGATCACAGACCTTAGACWCCCTGGTTCAGTGTAAATACTGTTATTATTAGCTATAGCAGTTGAACATTTGCCCCTGTAGAGTCCACAGCTCCTTAAGAATTCACTAATTGCATTTGATAGCTGCACAAACGTCAAAATCTCATTATTATTA